TTGTACATAGCCCTGTCTAGGCAGAGATTAGAATTGTGATTCACTTTGATCTTTCCCATTTCCATTTTGCCTTCACGCTTTTTCAGAGAGTCATAAATGATAAATCTAAAGGTGACCTTCGCTATCGTTTGGCTTCTCATAGAGAAAGGACTGGTCATTTCTTTTGTTTGTCATCCATTAACATAGAGGTGTTTTTCTGCAGTTTCATAAGAGGGTTTTGTTTATTTCAGTGTCGCTACTATGACTTTGCTTTGAATTCGGCTATTTAGGCTACTTCATTATTGTTTCTCATTAATATTTTCAATTGCAGGTTTTTAAGTTAGTATGATATATGAGAATCACAGTGGTGCTATAAGTTACAGCCCTGCTAATTCTGAAGATTTTTGGAGCCACATATTCTCGCATCTACAATACTTTTGATCTTTTGATACAGTCCAGAGTGAGCCTAGTTGATAATCCTCCTCTTTGTCGCTGCTGCATTTATTCTTTGTTGGAAGTTTGGATCTGTTAAAAATGAAAGAGATTGACAAGAGAAAAACTCCTATTAAGAACCAGTGTAAACGAGCTGTTAGAACAGAGAGGAAAGAACGCAGACCACATCAAGAGAATATTAGCAAAACTGTGAATGCTAAAGAAACCACACATAAGGCATTGACTACGAAGTCAAACAATTTAGTAAGTGAGTCAAACGCTGGCACGAAACCATTAGAGGCTCATCAAAGCTCAGATGCAGATCAGGTTTCTGATGCCAATAAGTTTGAGGGGATAAATCAAGATTCTAAAGCCAATGTGAATGCTGTTAGAGAGAATGTGAATGGTGTTGTAGAAGATAAATGTACTGCGTTGGAGAAAGATCATAATCACAGGGAGGAAGAAGTTTCTGATTCAGAGACGAAGGCGTATTCGGTTTCATCAAAAAGTGATTCAATAACAACAAAGGAGGAGAGAGTAGAAAGAGAGTCAAATTTTCCTGAAGATGTTCTAGAAGATAACAGTTCAGATTGCTCTCTTCACAACTCAAGTGAACAATTAGACCGTGGTATTAATCAATCACAGTCCAAGGAGTTATCTTTTACTTCAAAGAAAACAACAAATTCTGATAGAGACCTTCCCGGAATTAAAAACAAAAAGTCTTCTAAAGGAAATGCTAGGGGTGCAAAAATTGTGCCTAAACCTTCATCAGAATCTTCTGAAGGAACTGATTACCAGATTGTTGATGTGCTAAAGGATATTGAAGTCTTGGATGAGGCTATAAATGGTGTACAGAGCATTAGAAATGGTCCTGATACCAATGGTGACCACGATGATCAAATTGCTTGTGAACAAAAAATTGAAGAAATGGAAAAAAGAATTGATAAACTTGAAGAGGAGTTGAGAGTTGTTGCTGCTCTTGAAATGTCTCTTTATTCAGTGGTACCAGAGCATGGGAGTTCCGCACATAAAGTGCATACGCCAGCTCGACGCCTGTCTAGAATTTACATTTATGCCTGCAAACACTGGTCTCAAGACAAGCGAGCCACAGTTGCAAAGAATATTGTATCTGGGCTAATTTTAATTGCTAAATCATGTGGGAGTGATGTTCCAAGGTATATTTGCTATTATATTATCACAGTTAATTATTATGAAGTGCTGTTGAGTGGTGAAAATTAACAGAGGAAATCGACAAATTCCTTGGCTTTTTCAGGTTAACCTTCTGGCTATCAAATACTATTGTGATGAGGAAAATAATATCTCAAACATTTAGCAGCATCCATAGCTCAAATCCAGTGAAATGTTTTGTTGATTCCAACAACAGTAGCCGGAGAAATGGTGGGAAGCCAATAGCTGTTCAATGGATGAATAGTTATGGTAATAAACAAGTAAATAAATATATGCAGTGTGTAGAGGATTGGCAAGAGACAGGAACTTTTATGGCTGCATTAGAAAAAGTTGAATCCTGGATCTTTTCTCGGATTGTCGAGTCTGTTTGGTGGCAGGTATAGTTGACCATTATGTTATTTTATATATTATAATCTTGGTAATATTAGACTGGTGAATACTTTAATTTACTTTCCTTGTCACAGTCTGATTTGATGCCTTTTCGTCAATATCGTTATGCTTATATCTCTTTGTTCCGCATAATATATTTTCAGTCTTTAACACCAAATATGCAACCTCGAGACGCATCCAAAAACAAAAGCAGGGAGCGGATAATGGGACCTCCCCTGGGTGATCAGCAGCAAGGGAACTTTTCAGTTAACCTGTGGAGAAGTACTTTCCAGGATGCTTTTCAACGCCTCTGTCCTGTTCGAGCAAGCGGTCATGAGTGTGGTTGTCTTCCTGTTCTTTCAAGAATGGTAAGTTTTATTCAATAAAGAAGAGTAGAATAAAATTACTTAAAGCTGCCATTTCATGGGGGTCGTTAGAATATGATTCCACCTTTAAACTTATTCCAATTTCAACCACTAAATTTTGGAGAATAATTCTTATCCAATCTTGGATCAGGTTATGGAACAGTGTGTTTCCAGGCTAGACGTGGCCATGTTTAATGCTATCCTCCGTGAGTCCGCCCATGAGATTCCTACGGATCCTGTCTCGGATCCTATTGTTGATGCCAAGGTTCTTCCTATACCGGCTGGAGACCTGAGCTTTGGATCCGGTGCACAACTAAAAAATTCTGTATGTACCATTCTCATCACACGCTTTATAATTTCAAACTTCATGAAATGTTGGTAACTAGCAGATGCTAAATTGAGGTGGGCTGCTCGTGATGCAGGTTGGAAATTGGTCGAGATGGCTAACTGACATGGTCGGTATTGATGCTGATGACGCTTCAGTAGATCAACATGGCAGTGACGACGACATTAGACCTGATGTAGATGGAAGGCCCCAATCATTTCCTCTACTTAATTCATTGAGTGATCTCTTGATGCTTCCAAAAGACATGCTTACAGATCGTTCAATCAGAGAAGAGGTCTTTTTCAACCCCAAGCGTCTACCTTTTCTTAAGTGCATGCACTCTGCAAGTTTGTTCGACATTGTTAATCACTTATTTAACCATTTCTTGTGTTCTCTAGGTATGCCCATCGATTAGTCTTCCGCTGATTACAAGGATACTCTGTAATTTCACTCCAGACGAGTTCTGCCCCGATCCCGTTCCCGGAACTGTCTTGGAGTTACTTAATGCTGAGGTAAGATGAACTTTTCTTGTTCCAAAACTTTATGCTAGGATATCTCTAGATAGCTTTGAGCTGTTGAGTTTTGATGTCTTTTTATCATTATTACGAACTCGTCATTGTATTTTCACCTGAACAGAATATAGTCGAACGAAGATTGTCGGGTTACTCGGGGAGGAGCTTCCCCTACATAGCTGCTCCGGTTGTCTATATTTCTCCTTCGACATCTGATGTGGCAGAAAAAGTTGCAGAGGCTGGAGGAGGAAAATCTCACTTGGAAAGGAACATCTCTGCAATTCAGAGGAAAGGATATACGAGCGACGGAGAACTAGAGGAGCTGGATTCTCCTCTCTCGTTGATTGTCGATAAATCGACCTCATCTCCAACGTACAATGCTCATGGAAATGACCGACATGAAGAGGATACGATGTTTATATCCAGCAACATGAGGTACAAACTCCTTCAAGAAGTATGGTCTTAATGATGAATTCCCAACAAATGAGTGATGTATGTATTTTATTTACAACACATATAGATAGTTACTTTGAATTTGAATAAGAAAAATACAAAATACAAAATGCAAATAGAAAATAGAATTTCAGGTCATGTTTTCTTGTATATTGGATTCAAGTATGTGCTCTTATATAGAAATCTTGAACAAACTTACATTCCATAACAACCATGTAAGTTCATATTTCGCATAGAAGAATCTTATTTCCAAGATCAAGGATATGTTATTAATAGGCTAAATCCAAGTTTGGCTTTGGATCATGGTTATGTCGTTCTTTTCTACCTTTCTCTATTTAAATTTATCTAGTTGACTAAAAATCACTTGTTATTTTCTACATTTCTCTATTTAAATTTAGCGGACTAAAAATCACAGATTAAGTAATGTTGCATGAGTTGGGTATGATGATTGTCACTCTAGCTTGGTTTAAACTTTGTTTGATATAAAAGGATCAACAATGATTGCTTTTGAATTTTGCTCTTAGTATCTATGCTTACGTAAATCGGATTCTAGATTCTTCCCTCAAACTCTCGGAGTGGTATTTTATATGTAAGGGTAGTCTAATGTCAATTCACGATTAGGGTAGAGGGTAGTTGTTGTGGATTTGATGATTCTTTGACGACGTCATGGATGAACCTAATTTTCTCGCAGTTATACGAACCTGCTCAATCAACAATTAACGAGGATTTCATAATTTGATGGAAACAACTTTTTATCGTAGTTTTTGGTGGCTAGTAAAACTGGTTTTATATTATCTTTACTCACAACTTATTAAAAAAATTACTACTTCATCAATTTTTAAAATTTAGTTTTTTATTTTATTTTATTTTATTTTATCACGAGTGGCTTCTGTAACTTTGTTTCAAAGAAAAGCAATCGAACTTGTTCAGCCATTTTCGAAAAAAGGTTTTTATTATTATTATTATTTTTTTATGCCATGAGCCCTCACATTTATAAGGTCTTTACTCACAGGCATATACAGGAACAATTATTCATATTCGTAAAAGAGTTTGAAACCAAGAGGGAATAGGATATGAATATGATCCATAACAAACTATATAAACTCAAACAATTAGTATAGTCCCATTTGTGATTTCGTTAAGAAAGCTAATTACTTTGATAATCTTCAAAAACATGTGCTATTTCAGTTCTATACGACGATAAAAAAATATACCGAACAACGATGAACGTGTTATCGAAGGGTGAGAGGAGAATGAGAGAAAGCAAATGATTGATTCATTATAATTCAACTTAGAGTCATCCAATTAGACCTATTTGAAAAAGAAAAAAAAAAAAGAAATTGTGATTAAATTTGTAAATATAAGAATTTTCGTTAAAGAAGATAAAAAGATTTTGTATTGGGAAATTTGTAATATAAAGAGGAAATTGTGAGTGAAATTGATGAAACTTGGAAATCTGGTTGAAACTGGAAGCAATCATGATGGAACTACTGAAGCTTCATTGCAGTATGTAGCTTTAGCCTCTACAGTTCAAATTCTCTAGAACACTGAACTTGCGAGGTCGCCTTACCATCAACAATCAAGCTTTGAGTTCTGGAATTTCTGAACTGACGCTGCGCGGTTGTAGAAATGGCGTGGAGTCTGATCTTTTGGTTCGTCTCTTTCTGTATCAACATCGCACTTCTCGTCCTCAACTTTTACCAGGTACACCCTTTCTAATCTCTCATAAACCCTAGTTTTCGCGATCAAGTTACAGATTCTTTTGCGGGAAAGTTTGAATGCGTCTGCTGAAACGTAGCCCTAATGTTGTTGTTGTTGTGTTTGTCTTGTTGTAATCTTGTTGTTGCTTATTCAGTAAGCAGTGGAGGTTTGATGCATATATTAGATTCGGATTCGGATTCGGTTTTCTTGAAGAGAGCATTTCGACTTCAACTTTATTTACGTTTATATGTGACCTAGATTTTGATTGATGGAACCTTTACACTGTCGTTGCGCCTACTTTTGAAATAGATTCAATACCTACTTACTGTTCCACCGCTCTCTTAGTTTCTAAACAAGCGGTTGAATGATTAATTTTACGGTGATGAGTTTGATATCTTGACCAATCGTGCACTGTTAGCCGAAGTGAACGTATTCACAAAATGACATATCTACCTGTGGAATAACTGGCCACTTCCATGGAATGGATTGATCATTTCCTTTTGCATCTGAGTCAACGATGTACTCTTACCTTGTTTTGTAGTCTCCAGAGAAGTGGCTGTATATGTAACTTGTTGGGATGAAAGATTGTAAATGTATTTCAACCATGAAACTGGCTTCAATTATTATAGTTGATTATACTCTAAATACTGGTTCTTGATGCGGATGGAAGTAAAAGTGATCCCAATTCCTGGGGGTTATTTCTGGGACATCAATAGATTGTTGGGTTTACTCCCATTTCGTTTAATATGATGTACAGTGGCAGGAGGAGAGAAGTAATTGCTCTTATTTTCTTTTAAACCACGACGATTTGTCCTCTCTATTGCTTGTATTCTTATAGACTTGATGAATGTTTAGATTTTACACTTGTAGATGAACATCACTAGCCATTGCAAAGAGTAATGTTTATTGTCTAGTTACATCTGTGCTTTTAAGTTGGAAGCATCTAATGGTTGTGGTTGATCTTTTTTTGTAGCTCTTGGTATTAACGGATTTGGAGGCAGATTATTTGAACATCTATGATTCATCATCTCGCATTAACAAACTAGTCGTTCCAGAGTTTTTGGTGCAAGGACTGTTTTGCTCTCTTTTCCTCTTCACAGGCCACTGGTTCATGTTTCTTATAACCGTCCCTGTTAGCTGTTATCACATAAATTTGTAAGTGTTTCTTGACTCTGAAATAAGGCCTGGTATATATTTTCTTTTACCGTGTGCTATGGATGAGACCTATTGGTGACGTTCTTTGTTGATTTTCCCCTTCTACTGTCTGGAAGTGTTATGTATGAGGCTTATGATGTCCCGTACTTGTAAAATGAATCTAGTTTGCACTCATATTATATATACTTTATTCTTTTGTTAAGGAAAAGAGCATTATGCATTCTTTTTACTTTCTTAATATGCTTTGTTCTATTATCAAACACCATTATTTAGATGAATGTATATAGTGAAAACTTCTTGGACGATGTTAATGGTAAACCGATTAACCTGGTGCCAATTATTGCTTTCGTCATTTTTTCTGAACATTCTTATTCCCTGTAGCTATCCCAATACAATACTCAAATTTAATTCCATTACACAGGTCCTCCATCAGCGGAAGTATGCCAACTTATTGTTTGAAACTTTTATCCCACATAAGTCTTTAATAAATTTTTGGTGATTGATGGCCATCTACTACTGGTCATTTTTAAGAGTAAAACTAAAACTTAGTAATGTAGGATGGTTAACAGGATAAAGAAAAAACAAGGAAAAAAGAAAATGAATTATGTTCCACTACTTGGACTGAGTTTCTTTCTAGTATTTCTCCATGTTTTGTGTTTATGATGAATTATCCTGTTACAATGCCCCAGGTTCTTGAAGAGGGAGCATCTTATTGATGTTACTGAGGTGTTTAAAACTCTAAAACGTGAGAAGTATTTTCGTTTTGCCAAGCTTATCTTCTACTTGCTTCTGTTCCTCGTAGTAATCTTCAGGTTAGTCTGCATTTTTCCTTATGTCATTCTGCTTTTCTTCTTAACTATTTGGAAGGTTGGATATTTCTGATTGAGGTTTTCCTTGCTGTTTTCTGTATAGAATAATAATGGTAGCGGGAATGAAATCTGTTTTTGACTCTGCACCTGAGGATATAGACATTCGCTCCACTGTTCTCGAATTCTAGAGTATTTATTTAACCAACTAGCTTAAAGTAAAATCCATCCTTTGTTTTGAAATACGTATAAGATTACATGAAAAATAGTCAACTTATTTATTCATTGCAAAGTTCTTAAAGATAATGATGTTACACTGACTTGGGATTGTTTTGTTGGTTTTGGAAGCTATATACATACCATTACTCTCTGTTCTCTTGACGCCTGTTTAGTATTTTGTTAGTAATGCATTATTGCAAGTTTTTGGATTTTGCTCTGATTGAACCAAATGTTGCCTCTTTCTAACCTTTTCTGGTCCCAATATTTTCTATAAATTAACTTAGAATGTCCAATACATTTTTTATGTTAAATAGCTTTGTTTAGTTTTATGGTCGACTCCTATGCTTCTTGAGTGAGATCCTGGTACATATGCACTTGCATACACAAAATTTTCGCCTCTCTTAACTGGCATTCTTACATGTATTGAATTACCATGCAATGCAGGCTTACCTTGTCTGCTTTCAACGCATTATCTGATGAAGACGACGTCCTACATTTATTTTGATTGCGATTCTCTTACTCGAAGTTTGTATTACGGGTTCTATAGCATGTCTGTGGTTGGTATTTGTTTGGGAATTTACACGCAAGGAAACAAATTTGAAGGCAGCAACTTCAAACACGTTCATACAGGTTTTTCCTCCCATATTCCCATTCTTTGCTTTGGTTGGCTCCTCTAGCATTCTCGTAGACTTTGACCCAAGGAATGCTTGTATGTAGATTCTCCAGTTTAAAATGATGTGATTGTAGAGAATGAGTTTTAGCATTGTAAGCATATTGTTCAATTAGTTGACGTGTGATTTGTTTGGTACCTTGACAACTTACTGGTAATTGTCAGGGATCTCCAAGATTAGAGTCCCATTTCTTTGCATGTTTTTGAAATGTCAGCTTGAGTTAGCTAATTTTTAGTATTTTCATGAGTTTTTTTTTTTTTAAATGTCAATTTCATCTATGAATATCTCGAATTTACATGTTAGATGCCAGCAAAGCCTCTTGGAAGAATGAGAGAATTTTGAGCGCAGAGAAGTAGAGAAATTGTGTTCGAAAATGAAACATTAAGAACTCGAAGCTTTGAGCTGCTCTTTCTTTGAGAACTCCTTCAATTCCTTCTTCAATGGTGTACCGTATTTTTATTAGAAGATCTAATGTGCTGATCAATGATGTTTTTGTCTAAAGAAATGAGGTTCTTGTTAGGAACCAAGGACTTCCATAATAGGATGATATTTGTCTACATGGCTTTGCCTTTAGGATTCCCTAAAAGACTGAATTACTAATAGAGATGGGGTTCCTTATAAATTCATGATTTTATCCGTAATTAGCTAGACTACTCCTCTCAACAAGTCTACCATAATTCCTATTACTAAATTTATATGGCATCACCTCTATTGACTAGATCCATTCCATGGTTCATATCAGGTTTCCCACGATGTAGTGATATAATTTCTTTTTGGTACATATTGGTTGCCCAACTTGTTTCTTCGACGCAAGGTTATGCACTTCTCTTCTTGGATAATATTTTCTTCAAAGTCATCAAACCTTCAACATGCTCATCTAATGTAAATTCTTATTAGGAACGACACAATAATTATACAAATTTACGCTTAATTATTAAGTGTATTAAAATTATTATATGTGTTTTATAAACAAGATTAAACCTAGAAGGCTTCCATATGAAAATTGAGCTTCTCAAAACGACGACGCTTTAGTTTGTCAATAGACTATAAGATCTCACACAGGGCTCAACATTGTCTCTCTCTCTCTCTCTCTCTCGCTCTTCTCTTTCGCGCTCGCTGGATCGCTCACAGAGTCGCTGAAATCGAAACCAACTCAAAATGCCCTCCCCAACGCCCTTTGCAACCGCCTCAAATATGCTCCGGCACCGCCTTCTCCCTTCTCTCAGGACCCGCGGTGGCGCCGCCACAGGCCAGAGCCGGTGGACCAGTCCCGGCCACGAGGAGCAGCCAAAGGGCTATCTTTTCAATCGGACGCCGCCTCCGCCAGGTCAGTCCCGTAAATGGGAGGATTGGGAGCTTCCTTGTTATGTTACTAGTTTTCTTACTATCGTGATTCTTGGCGTTGGCCTCAACGCCAAGCCTGATCTCACAATTGAGACTTGGGCTCACCAGAAGGCCCTAGAGCGTCTTGAGATGGAGAATCTGGCTATTTCTGGCTCTGGATCATCTGAATCTGATTGAATTTCGTGGTTCTTATGCTCTTTCTGGAACTGGGTTGCTTGATTTTGATTCCACCGTTGAAAAGGGGTTTCGGTTCTATGGTGGGATTTATGAGATGCTGTCGATATTTTGTAGTTCAATAAGTTTTTTCCTAAATGTGCCATTGGCTCTTTTGGACCTTCAATAACAGTTCTATTTTAATTGTTAGTTTTGGACATATTTGGCGTGGTATATGTCAAGCACTTGAATTTTAACCCTTCGATATGTTTCAATTTAGTTGCCAATGTTGAGTTATGTATACGAATTTCCTAATAATTTAGTTCTGTTGGATATCTTATGGCCATGATTATCGTGGCAATCTCTGTTTAATTCCTTTTTGTTTATCCATCTTGATTTTGTTCAATAACTACGTACTCTCAATGCCCTGCGATAGATAATAGGTTGTTCAAATACAACTGATGTTATTAGATTTTGTGTTCTCTTATTGTTTATCTCGTTGCTTATGTTATCTTTCTTTTACTTTTGTAGTTCTTTTGAATATCTGTGCTTATATCCCTTTCAATTTCATCCATTTAATGCCTAATGAGTTAGTGTTTTGTGCAATATTTCTTTTATCATTTACTATTTGCAAGTTTCCTATGAAATTGCTTGTTTCTAATAATTTGATACTTGTGCCATCTGAATTGAATGTTGATCCCTCTAAAAGTGGGGATAGTTAGTATACTGATGAGCATATTGTTTGCATAGTAACTGAATGGCCACTCTGTAGACTTCCTTTGTCTAGTAATTACTGGTGTAGATTCATTCTTTCAATATATGTCGCATTTGTCACTTTGCGACTTTCCTTAGTAGAGGGTATTTTTTTTTTTTTTTTTTTTTTTT